TTTGTAATAACAATCCATCAGGAGCTGTAGTCGATAGAATCCTTATCGACCATGTTCGAACTCTTCTTGTTTAAGGAAATAAATGCTGCACTGTTGCTGATGATCGATTATTGATTAGCCTATTGTTTAATGATTAATATTTACTAACAAGAGAAGCTTACTTGAGCCTGCAATAAAATATTTTCAACCAAATACCTAAAATTTCCAATCCAATTGTCTTTTCGTTGAATTAGACAAACGGAGGGGTAGGTGATATTGCTGACCAGTTTCCAAAGGTGGTAGATATGGAGCATCTCTTGAGAACATCTACCTATGCATGAAGAAGATCTCATTATACGAAACAGGCTTTTTTTTGTAAATTACTGTATTTTTTTGTATCAACTCAGTAGTAGCTTTGATTTTTGGTCACAGAAGCAATCGATTGAGAGGAAGAATGATCATCTTATCCAATGTTCTAGTTTCTTGTGCACGTGATTTATATTTTTATAATTTAGATATATATAGATATATTCTTAAATTCGCTTATTGGATATTACTCAAATATTCGACTCATCCGGTGATATTCTATCGATATTAATGTGACGGTATTTTAAAATTTATTAAGAGTAATTTTGAAAATAAGTTAAATATTTGTTAAGATATTAAAATAATAAAAATAAGAAAATTATTCTTATACTTTTAGATTGCACGAGAATAATTATATAAATATAATTGTGTGTCTCTTTTCTTAAGCCTCGAGACGAAGCGTGTACTGCTCCACTGATACGGTGCAGATAGACATTGCTGTCGATATGACAGAGTCCGGTGGGAGACGTCGATGTGATCGGAAACAGCTGTTTTCGGCAATGCTCGCTGAGTTGGTCGTGTGTCAACATCTGTTGGACGCCCTGAATGACATGCCATTCACAATGCATGTGTTACTGCTGTGAGATCAATAATTGGAAGGAACACACACAGACGAAGCAGCAAGCTTTCAAGTGAAAAATTAGAATAAATTTTCATTATAAGTGAAAGTTATTGTAAGGAGTCAATTACTTATCCGAATTGAATTGAGTTCATGATAGAACAGACATCACATAATTTGAATGATTTATTTGTAGATAAAGGAGTAGCTAATTATTGAGGAAGAATCTGAATGATTTATTTGTAGATAAAGGAGTAGCTAATTATTGAGGAAGAATCCTAAATTTTTGAGAAAGATTCGATCAAGATCATTGTGACAATAATATCATCTACATATACTAGATGATATATTATATTTTATATTATTATAATATTAATAAAGAAATATCAAAAGTTGATGAAGCCAATTGATAACAAAATATGTTGAAGAGTCATCAGCAAAATATTATTTCTCCACACATTAATTATTTTCCCACGCATGTCTGAGGCCAAGTTGCCACTGATCAACCGAGAGAAATAACTAGCTACCATAGAAACATAACACAAATGCTTTAAAACATCGGCATAAAATAAAAGGTATCAAAAGATAATTAGAAATAAAATATCAAAATCAACAGGGATGTTCCACTCAGACAAAACTCCTGAAGAATATAAATTGTCACAAATTTAAGATGATTAAATAGTGCAGTCAGGATGCAACAGGTTTACACATTGACTCGGGGAAGCACTTGCAATCCTAATTTTCAGCGACAACATGGTGCTTTACCTGCACAGCAGCAACATAGGAATTATAGAGAGCAGTAAATTTCTCCTTGTACGGGAAAAGAAATTTGTTCATGAACTTCTGCTCAGTTAGTCGCATGACATATGCAAGGCCTTGTCCTTTATCTAGCAATTTATTCTGCTCAAGAAAATTTATAACATCATGACGAGGTCTCAACCTCTTCTCCAAGCTATATGAAAGAATACCAGAATGGCGAATGATATACTGCAGCTCACAACCAGCTTCCTTCATCAGGAATGTCATCTTGTCAGATATGTTATTCTTTGAGAGTGTCCAAACAGTTGGTTTCTTCCTGAGTATGGCAACGATGTCTGGCTGGGACCAACCAAAGCTCTTAAAGGTTGCAAAGGTAGCATCACACTTAGATCTGCTCATGTTCATGACAGAATGAAGTGCATGACGGAACATTCCACAATCCCGTGGCACACCCAACTCCTCAACA